CTATCACAGCCATTCAACTCTGCAACTGTTGTAGCCCTTTCCTGCAGTCGACTGACCAAAGCGCCCTCTAGTGGCCTCATGGGTGGAATGTTATTCATATTTTTCATAATTTCATAATTAATAAACATGATAAATAAAATAAAAAATGAAAATCTGGTGTTTCTATGTCAAATGGTTTTGTTATATTTCAGTCTTCTGTGATATATATATATATATATATATATATATATATATATATTATTATTATTATTATTATTATTATTATTATATAAATGTATAAAGTGTAATATTGGGATGCAAACCCAAAATTGAATACATTTCAACTCTATATCTGACAGGTTGTTTTCTTGCCCATAACCATGTGTGTGAGGTGTATACTTTTGTTTCAAAGTAGATTTGTTTAAGACTACCAAGAATCACTCTGTGTGACCCTGATTTAGCCCACTGCAGTAAAAGGTTAAAGTCACCATTGGCCTCATCGTGAAATCTCTGAGTGATTTCCTTCCTCTCCGGCAACTGAGTTAGGAAGGACACCTGTATCTTTGTAGTGACTGGGTGTATTGATATACCATCCAAAGTGTAATTAATAACTTCACCGTGCTCAAAGGGATATTCAATGTCTGTTTTGTTTTTTTCTACCCATCTACCAATAGTTATCCCTCTTTGCGAACCATTGGAAAAACTCCCTGGTCTTTGTGGTTGAATCTGTGTTTGAAATTCACTGCTTGACTGAGGGACCTTACAGATTATTGTATGTGTGGGGTACAGAGATGAGGTAGTCATTCAAAAATCATGTTAAACACTATTATTGCACACAGAGTCCATGCAACTTATTATGTGCCTTGTTAAGCAAATGTTTACTCCTGAACTTTGGGCTTCCCATAACAAAGGGGTTGAATACTTATTGACTCAAGACATTTCAGCTTTTCATTTTTCATGATTTTGTAAAAATTTCAAAAAACATAATTCCACTTTGAAATTATGGGGTATTGTGTGTAGGCCAGCGACAGAAAATCTCAATTTAATCCATTTTAAATTCAGGCTGTAACACAACAACGTGTGGAAAAAGTCAAGGGGTGTGAATACTTTCTGAAGGCAGTGCAGTATTTGGTTCAGGAGATTTTCTAAATAAGATTTAAAAGAATTAAGAGATATCCGCTTTAGCTGTTGTTTTGGTGGTGGAGGAGGTGGAACTGCCTTAGAGCTGTCCAATCCACAAGCAGCTCCTGGCGTTATACCTAAAGCGGACGTTGCCATTGGCTGCACGGAGTCACAGTATCAGAAATTCCATGCTGCCTTGCTTACAAGTTGGAACACTGGAATGTGAGATGCAATCTACACCTAGATTAGGCTGATAGAAATCCTCTTTATTTTGTTGAATGATTTTCCATTTGAGCGTCATTATTTCTATATAGCTACACTTTCTCCTTCTGAACTTCTGACATGAGTGGGAGGGGTGTGGCTTCGTGACAATGATCACAAGAGCAGCAGCTCACCGATTTGACGGCTCCAACGAAGTTCCACCTCTGACACCACCAAAACATCAGCTATGTGGGTGTCGGCTATCGCCAGTTAACGCTTGATCTGATTGAATCTAGGCCTAATTTGGCACTTTCTTTCTTGACAAACCAAGTTTTAGGATCTTGCACTTGACCATCTTGTTGCACATTTGGATTGAATAAAAATCTTCCACTACGTTGGCACATCTATGACTTACAAACATCAATGATTCAGATTGAATGTTATAATGTTAGAACTATCTGCCTTGTGATCCTAACGCCACAGAGCAGGCCTTCATAGTCTATCCTCATATTCTATATTAAAACTGTAGAGCATCAAGGAAACCTGGGCAGATGTTTCTATAACATTAGACAATGTTTCAGATGTTTCAGTAACACTAGATAATGTTTCAGATGTTTCAATAACACTAGATAATGTTTCAGATGTTTCAATAACACTAGATAATGTTTCAGATGTTTTAGTAACACTAGATAATGTTTCAGTAACACTAGATAATGTTTCAGTAACACTAGATAATGTTTCAGTAACACTAGATAATGTTTCAGTAACATTCTAGATAATGTTTCACTAACACTAAATAATGTTTCAGTAACACTAGATAACAACAACGTTTGTTAAATGTTGGTATTTTGGAATAAAAATTACAGTAAAAGATATTATTAGCCTCTCTATATATAGCAGTATATAACAATTATAACAGTATAAGAGCTTCAAGAATATCTTGGAGGAAGAGTACTACTTATAGAACTAGCACGGTAAACTAGCATGGTAAACTAGCATGGTAAACTAGCACGGTAACACACCTAACACTAGCACGTAATCACGTAACTGCAGTAAACTAGCACGGTAACTAGCAGTAACTAGCACGGTAAACTACATGGTAAACTAGCACGGTAAACTAGCAGTAATAGCATGGTAAACAGCATGGTAATAACATGAACTAACGTTGTAAACTAGCTTGGTAATGCTTGGTAAATAGAGTAAACTAGCAGTAAATAGCAGTAATAGCTGGTACTCATGGTAATAACATGGTAAATAGCACGATTACTAGCACGTAAACTAGCATGGTAAAATAGCTGGTAAACTAGCAGTAACTACATGTAACTAGCAGGTAACTGAGTAAACTAGCATGGTAAACTAGCATGGTAAACTAGCATGGTAAACTAGCACGGTAAACTAGCACGGTAAACTAGCACGGTAAACTAACATGGTAAACTAGCACGGTAAACTAGCACGGTAAACTAGCATGGTAAACTAGCACGGTAAACTAGCATGGTAAACTAGCATGGTAAACTAGCATGGTAAACTAGCACGGTAAACTAGCACGGTAAACTAGCACGGTAAACTAGCATGGTAAACTAGCACGGTAAACTAGCACGGTAAACTAGCATGGTAAAACATACGTAATAATGTAAAAAGTACTTAAAACGAAAATAGTAGTAAAGTAAATTTGACATTTAGCTAAAATGTTACTGAAACCTTCTCAGGTGAGTCCTGTGAAGCAGGGACTCGTTTTCTGCCCAGCAACAGTTAATCATTGCTTTGATTTGGTCAAAGTCAACTTTGCAACCAAGGTACCATTCAATAATGTTTCACTCCCTAGATTTACATTTCATCAAACTCACTTTCCTTGTCCTGCTCTGCTCATTAAAATGTCTTTAAATCTTTTATAAAAAAAAATTATACTGTAAACAAAACAAGATGGATCAAAAACCAGAGAAATATAATCTGCCAGTTGTGAAAATAATGTTGTTCTGCTGTAAAATAAGTTACAGAAAAATAAATAAAAAAATCTTTGCTTACAGTACTAAATCCTGAACTAGTGTTTTTAAACTTATGAACCACATGTTAAGTCTATAAATATCTTTACAAATATACATGTTAATAATTCAAATAAACCTTTTGTATCACTTTAAATTATTACATGATCATGACAGTGTATTCTTGATTGCAATGCTTTGATTCGAAAACAATATTTTTTCTTCTTTTAAGTACATGGCTGTTGACAGCAATATGATACATATTTGCATTTATATATTTACAGTGAAAACTTTTTAAAGATTCATAGAAACTCCCCCAATTATATTCCCCTCCTGTTGAAGGGTCTGACGGCAGCTTGGTTCCCATCAGAGAGACTGGTTCTATATTCCCCTCCTGTTGAAGGGTCTGACGGCAGCTTGGTTCCCATCAGAGAGACTGGTTCTATATTCCCCTCCTGTTGAAGGGTCTGACGGCAGCTTGGTTCCCATCAGAGAGACTGGTTCTATATTCCCCTCCTAGGGAGGAAGGGTTCTGACGGCCAGCTTGGTTCCCATCAGAGGGTTATCCCATCCGTGTGAAGGGGTTCTGACGGCAGCTTGGTTCCCATCAGAGAGACTGGTTTATAGTTCCCCTCCTAGTGAAGGGTCTGACGGCAGCTTTGGTTTCCCATCAGAGAGACTGGTTCTATATTCCCCCATCCGTTGAAGGGTCTGTCTGACGGGCAGCTTGGTTTCCCCATCAGGAGAGACTGGTTCCTATATTCCCCTCCTAGTGAAGGGTCTGACGCAGCTTGGTTCCCCATCAGGAGAGACTGGTTCTATATTCCCCTGCCTGTTTGAAGGGTCCTGACGGCAGCTTGGTTCCCATCAGAGAGGTTCAAACAGCAGAGACCTCTGTGGTTACAGTCCTGGTTCAGATTGTTGTATTGTAGTCCCATTGAAAAAAAAACGTATGTTGCATGATGTTTGAGATGAGTCAACAGAGGTGAGGGGGAGGGGTCTTGGAGTAAAGCACTAACTGTTATTGGAAGAACTAGTCACATCATTTTGTTGATTCTGGCCTTGCTGGTATGCTGCATATTTATAAAAATGAGTTCCCGTGTACTCCATACTCTGTCGTTCACAGAGCTCCATAGAGGAGAGGTGAGGAGACCCAGCCTGGAAAATACCCTGTTTCCCTGGCCAATGGCGTTCACCTTCCTAGCCTCCCTGGCCAACGGCATTATAGATACCCTGCCTCTCTGGTCAATGGCGTTTTAGATACCCTGCTTTCGTGGCCAATGGTGTTCAACTCCAAGTGTCCATCTCCTTCCAGTCCTGTGGATTAGAGTTTGGATTCCTGTAGGCACTGAATGGTTTGACCCTTCGGATTGTCAATAACTAAAGACTGGCCAAGTACAAAAAATAGACATTTTCATTTTGAACAGCAAAACATTTTCCAACCTTCAATGCAAAGATTCTTTAAAAAATGTGTCAGTTTGAGGAGGTATTGCATGTGTTGTTCTCTTTCCCATATCTGGAGGAGGTTCAAAGTACCCCCCACACCCCTCCGATTGGGGGGGGGGGGGGGGGGTTCGTCGTCCCAACCCATCCAACCCCCCCTTCTAGATAGATCTATGTCCTGATTGCCCTGTAAGTCTGCAGTAGTTTGACAAGGTTTGGCAGGCAGGGGTTGTCACCCTGGATCATTTTGGGGAGGCAGGGTTGGTCAGCGAGGGGGTCCAGGGGAGGCAGCATTGATAAGGGATGGGGTCATGGGGAGGCAGGGTTGGTCATGTCGTGGGTCGTGGGGAGGGGGTCGTGAGAGAACACGGAGTCATCTCCTGAGGAACAGGTGCTGCTGGAGTCTTGGCAGGTTGGAGAGTACTGCTCAAACGGGACACACAGGTCCAGATACTCCTGTAGTAACACAACACAACACACAGCATTAGAACAGACAGGTCCAGGTACTCCTGTAGTAACACAACACACAGCATTAGAACAGACAGGTCCAGGTACTCCTGTAGTAACACAACACACAGCATTAGAACAGACAGGTCCAGGTTACTCCTGTAGTAACACAACACACAGCATTAGAACAGACAGGTCCAGGTACTCCTGTAGTAACACAACACACAGCATTAGAACAGACAGGTCCAGATACTCCTGTAGTAACACAACACACAGCATTAGAACAGACAGGTCCAGGTACTCCTGTAGTAACACAACACACAGCATTAGAACAGACAGGTCCAGGTACTCCTGTAGTAACACAACACACAGCATTAGAACAGACAGGTCCAGGTACTCCTGTAGTAACACAACACACAGCATTAGAACAGACAGGTCCAGGTACTCCTGAAGGAACCAACACAACACACAGTGTTAGAACAGACAGGTCCAGGTACTCCTGAAGGAACCAACACAACACACAGTGTTAGAACAGACAGGTCCAGGTACTCCTGTAGTAACACAACACACAGCATTAGAACAGACAGGTCCAGGTACTCCTGTAGTAACACAACACACAGCATTAGAACAGACAGGTCCAGGTACTCCTGTAGTAACACAACACACAGCATTAGAACAGACAGGTCCAGATACTCCTGAAGGAACCAACACAACACACAGTGTTAGAACAGACAGGTCCAGGTACTCCTGAAGGAACCAACACAACACACAGTGTTAGAACAGACAGGTCCAGGTACTCACGTTTGTTTAACTATCCTTGTAGGGACCAAACAATTGATTCCAATTCAAAATCCTATTTTCCTTAATCCTAAACCTAACACTTAACATAACCCTAACCTTAACCCCAAAACCCTAACCCTAACTCCTAACCCTAAACCGAACACTAACCCTAACCATAAACCTAACCCTTAACATAACCCTAACCCTAACCCTAACCCTAACCCTAACACTAACCCTAACCCTAACCCCTAAGCCTAATATAGCCTTTTTACTTATGGGGACCGGCAAAAAATCCCCAAATATTCCTTGTTTTACAATCCTTATCCTTGTGAGGAATTCTGGTACTCTAGAGATAATGTTAGAGTTGTATTAGTTTTATATAGAGGTTATTGCTGTATACGTGAGTTAGCTAGCATGCTCTAGATGTAATTGTTATTGGGTAGTGCGTACGGCCCAGTACATCACTGGGGCAAAGCTCCCTGCCATCCAGGACCTCTATACCAGGCGGTGTCAGAGGAAGGCCCTCAAAATTGTCAAAGACTCCAGTCACCCTAGTCATAGACTGTTCTCTCTGCTACCGCACGGCAAGCGGTACCGGAGTGCCAAGTCTAGGTCCAAAAGACTTCTCAACAGCTTCTACCCCCAAGCCATAAGACTCCTGAACAGCTAATCATGGCTACCCGGACTATTTGCACTGCCCCCCCACCCCATCCTTTTTACGCTGCTGCTACTCTGTTAAGTATTTATGCATAGTCACTTTAACTCTACCCACATGTACATATTACCTCAACTAGCCGGTGCCCCCGCACATTGACTATGCAACGGTACCCCCCTGTATATATAGCCTCCCTACTGTCACTTTATTCTATTGTATATATAGCCTCCCTACTGTCACTTTATTTTTTACTTCTGCTCTTTTTTTCTCAACACTTTTTTGTTGTTGTTTTATTCTTACTTTTTTGTTTAAAATAAATGCACTGTTGGTTAAGGGCTGTAAGTAAGCATTTCACTGTAATGTCTGCACCTGTTGTATTCGGCGCATGTGACCAATAAAATTTGATTTGATTTGATTTTATTGCTGTATAAGTGAGTTAGCTAGCATGCTCTAGATGTAATGTCTGTCATTGCTGTATAAGTGAGTTAGCTAGCATGCGCTAGATGTAATGTCTGTTATTGCTGTATAAGTGAGTTAGCTAGCATGCTCTAGATGTAATGTCTGTTATTGCTGTATAAGTGAGTTAGCTAGCATGCTCTAGATGTAATGTCTGTTATTGCTGTATAAGTGAGTTAGCTAGCATGCTCTAGACGTAATGTCTGTTATTGCTGTATACGTGAGTTAGCTAGCATGCTCTAGATGTAATGTCTGTTATTGCTGTATAAGTGAGTTAGCTAGCATGCTCTAGATGTAATGTCTGTTATTGCTGTATAAGTGAGTTAGCTAGCATGCGCTAGATGTAATGTCTGTTATTGCTGTATAAGTGAGTTAGCTAGCATGCGCTAGATGTAATGTATGTTATTGCTGTATAAGTGAGTTAGCTAGCATGCTCTAGATGTAATGTCTGTTATTGCTGTATAAGTGAGTTAGCTAGCATGCTCTAGATGTAATGTCTGTTATTGCTGTATAAGTGAGTTAGCTAGCATGCTCTAGACGTAATGTCTGTTATTGCTGTATAAGTGAGTTAGCTAGCATGCTCTAGATGTAATTGTTATTGCTGTATAAGTGAGTTAGCTAGCATGCTCTAGATGTAATTGTTATTGCTGTATAAGTGAGTTAGCTAGCATGCTCTAGATGTAATGTCTGTTATTGCTGTATAAGTGAGTTAGCTAGCATGCGCTAGATGTAATGTCTGTTATTGCTGTATAAGTGAGTTAGCTAGCATGCTCTAGATGTAATGTCTGTCATTGCTGTATAAGTGAGTTAGCTAGCATGCTCTAGATGTAATTGTTATTGCTGTATAAGTGAGTTAGCTAGCATGCTCTAGACGTAATGTCTGTTATTGCTGTATAAGTGAGTTAGCTAGCATGCTCTAGATGTAATGTCTGTTATTGCTGTATAAGTGAGTTAGCTAGCATGCGCTAGATGTAATGTCTGTTATTGCTGTATAAGTGAGTTAGCTAGCATGCTCTAGATGTAATGTCTGTTATTGCTGTGTAAGTGAGTTAGCTAGCATGCTCTAGACGTAATGTCTGTTATTGCTGTGTAAGTGAGTTAGCTAGCATGCTCTAGATGTAATTGTTATTGCTGTATAAGTGAGTTAGCTAGCATGCTCTAGACGTAATGTCTGTTATTGCTGTGTAAGTGAGTTAGCTAGCATGCGCTAGATGTAATGGCCGCATTAGGGGTTAGTAATCTGGGGTTAGGGTTAGACAGTTATCTAGGGTTAGTAATCTGGGGTTAGGGTTAGACAGTTATCTAGGGTTAGTAATCTGGGGTTATAGTTAGACAGTTATCTGGGGTTAGTCATCTGGGGTTAGGGTTAGACAGTTATTGGGGTTAGTATCTGGGGTTAGGGTAGACAGTTATCTGGGGTTAGTAATCTGGGGTTAGGGTTAGACAGTTTATCTAGGGTTAGTAATCTGGGGTTAGGGTTAGACAGTTATCTAGGGTTAGTAATCTGGGGTTATAGTTAGACAGTTATCTGGGGTTAGTCATCTGGGGTTTAGGGTTAGACAGTTTATCTGGGTTAGTAATCTGGGGTTAGGGTTAGACAGTTATCTGTGGTTAGTAATCTGGGGTTAGGGTTAGACAGTTATCTAGGGTTAGTCATCTGGGGTTATAGTTAGACAGTTATCTGGGGTTAGTAATCTGGGGTTAGGGTTAGACAGTTATCTGTGGTTAGTAATCTGGGGTTAGGGTTAGACAGTTATCTAGGGTTAGTAATCTGGGGTTAGGGTTAGACAGTTATCTAGGGTTAGTAATCTGGGGTTATAGTTAGACAGTTATCTGGGGTTAGTCATCTGGGGTTAGGGTTAGACAGTTATCTGGGGTTAGTAATCTGGGGTTAGGGTTAGACAGTTATCTGTGGTTAGTAATCTGGGGTTAGGGTTAGACAGTTATCTAGGGTTAGTCATCTGGGGTTATAGTTAGACAGTTATCTGGGGTTAGTAATCTGGGGTTAGGGTTAGACAGTTATCTGTGGTTAGTAATCTGGGGTTAGGGTTAGACAGTTATCTAGGGTTAGTAATCTGGGGTTAGGGTTAGACAGTTATCTGGGGTTATAGTTATTGTGTTTATAGTTGTGACTTACGTCCGTGGAGGTCATGGATAGAACCCTGTCATGGTCTTCCACCAGCTGCCTGAAGGTAGGCCTCTGGGATGGAACAGCGTGCCAGCACTCCCTCATGATCATATACCTACAGAGACACAACAGTTACAATACAGCACAGTGAATACAGGCCATACACAACACAGTGAATACAGGCCATACACAACACTCACTGTATGACCTGCTGTACATCCAAATGAGAATTCCACAGACAGACACCGTGCATTCATCTCAAACTGCTCCGGAGATAATGTCGATGTGATTCTAAAGGTGTCTATACAGGTCATAAATGTAACAGGGCTAGTTATGTTTTCACTTGCCACTGCAGAAATGTGTACTTAATGTTTATGTATTCTAATTGGTTGGATTAAGTCAGATGTCAGGGTGTAAGATCATTGGCTTGCAGATAGGAGGAGATCGCGAACGTCAATTCTTCCCAGTCTGATATTGACATGCAAGTGGTAGGTCATGTTCTGAAATACTGTATTCCATTTTCATATTTACAATGTGTACGAGTTCACTAGGTACATTTCCTGATGTAAATAGACCCACCGGACAGTTTATTAGGTACACCCCATTCACACAAATGTATCGCTCCTACAGACAGTGAGTCACGTGGCCGTGGCTTGCTATATAAAGCAGGCAGACAGGCATCGAGGCATTCCGTTCTGTTTGATTGAACATTAGAATGGGCAAAACGAGTGACCTAAGCAACTTTGAGCGTTGTATGATTGTCGGTTCCAGTCGGGCCGGATCCCATGTCTCAGAAACAGACGTCCACCTGGGCTTTTCACCACGACAGTGTCTAGCGTTTACCGAGAATGGTTGGACAAACTAAAAATATCCAGTCAGCGGCAGTCCTGTGGGTGAAAACAGCTTGTTGACGAGAGAGGTCGTAGGAGACGGGCAAGAATCGTGCAAGTTAATAGGTGGGCCAAAAACAGACCAATAACAGCGCGGTACAACAGCTGTGTACAGAACGGCATCTCGGAACGCACAACTCTTCAATCCTTGTCACGGATGGGTTATTGCAGCAGACGACCACACCGGGTTCCACTCCTATCAGCCTAAAACAAGAAGAATCGTCTCCAGTGGGAACACCATCACCAACACTGGACAACTGAGGAGTGCAAAAACATCTCTTGGTCCGACAAATCCTGGTTCCTGTTGCATCATGCTGATGGCAGAGTCAGGATTTGTCATAAGCAGCATGAGTCCATGGCCCCATCCTGCCTGGTTTCAACGGTACAGGCTGGTGGTGGTGGTGTACTGGTGTGGGGAATATTTTCCTGGCACTTTAGGTCCTTTGATAACAATTGAGCAACAAACGTTTATGACATTTTGCAGAATCCTTCAGGCTGTTCTGGAGGCAAAGGGGGGTCCGACCAGGTACTAAATGGGTGTACCTAATAAATTGGCCACTGAGTGTATACGTACGTGTGGTACCTGTTTGATATTGGGGGCTTTCTGCGATGTGCTTTTGTATGTATGATTGCTGTATAAGTGAGTTAGCTAGCATGCTCTAGACGTAATGTCTGTTATTGCTGTATAAGTGAGTTAGCTAGCATGCTCTAGACGTAATGTCTGTTATTGCTGTATAAGTAAGTTAGCTAGCATGCTCTAGATGTAATGTCTGTTATTGCTGTGTAAGTGAGTTAGCTAGCATGCTCTAGACGTAATGTCTGTTATTGCTGTATAAGTGAGTTAGCTAGCATGCTCTAGATGTAATGTATGTTATTGCTGTATAAGTGAGTTAGCTAGCATGCTCTAGACGTAATGTCTGTTATTGCTGTATAAGTGAGTTAGCTAGCATGCTCTAGATGTAATGTCTGTTATTGCTGTATACGTGAGTTAGCTAGCATGCGCTAGATGTAATGGCCGCATTAGCTAATACAGAGTTGTTGTTACAGATTCATGCTATCGACAGCCATCAACATCATTGAGCCCTGCACATCTATATAACAGTGGCAGGTAGCCTAGCGGTTAGAGTGAAACCAAAAGTGACAAATCTGTCGATGTGCCCTTGAGCAAGGCACTTAACCCTAATTAGCTCCAGGGGCACCGTACTGCTATGGCTGATCCTGTAAAACAACACATTTCACAGCACCTATCCAGTGGATGTGACAGTAAAACATCTATTAGTGGAGGCTGGTGGGAGGAGCTATAGGAGGATGGGCTCATTGTAATGGCTGGAATGGATTACATCGAATGTATCAAACATATGGAAACCATGTTTGACTCTGTTCCATTTATCCATTCTCATATATATATATATATATACACTACCAGTCAAACGTTTCAGAACACCTACTCATTCAAGGGTTTTTCTTTATTTTTACTATTTTCTACATTGTAGAATAATAGTGAAGACATCAGAACTATGAAATAACACATATGGAATCATGTAGTAACCAAAAAAGTGTTAAACAAATCAAAATATATTTTATATTTGAGATTCTTCAAATAGCCACCTTTGCCTTGATGACAGCTTTGCACACTCTTGGCATTCTCTCAACCAGCTTCATGAGGTAGTCACCTGGAATGCGTTTCAATTAACAGGTGTGCCTTCTTAAAAGTTAATTTGTGGAATTTCTTTCCTTCTTAATGTGTTTGAGCCATTCCGTTGTGTTGTGACAAGGTGGGGGGGGGGGGGGGGGGGGGGGGGGTATATACAGAAGATAGCCCTATTTGGTAAAAGACCAAGTCCATATTATGGCAAGAACAGCTCAAATAAGCAAAGAGAAACGACAGTCCATCATTACTTTAAGACATGAACGTCAGTCAATCCGGAAAATTTCAAGAACTTTGACAGTTTCTTCAAGTGCAGTCGCAAAAACCATCAAGCGCTATGATGAAACTGGCTCTCATGAGGACCACCACAGGAATGGAAGACCCAGAGTTACCTCTGCTGCCCAAAAATTGCAGCCCAAAAGAATGCTTCACAGAGTTTAATTAACAGACACATCTCAACATCAACTGTTCAGAGGAGAGTGTATGAATCAGACCTTCATGGTCGAATTGCTGCAAAGAAACCACTACTAAAGGACACCAATAAGAAGAAGAGACCTGCTTGGGCCAAGAAACATGAGCAATGGACATTAGAACGGTGGTAATTAGTCCTTTGGTCTGGAGTCCAAATAAGAGATTTTTGGTTCCAACCGCCGTGTCTTTGTGAGACGCGGTGTGGGTGAACGGATGATCTCCGCATCTGTATTTCCCATCGTAAAGCATGGAGGGGGAAGTGTTATGGTGTTGGGGTGCTTTGCTGGTGACACTGTCTGTGATTTATTTAGAATTCAAGGCACACTTAACCAGCATGGCTACCACAGCATTCTGCAGCGATACGCCATCCCATCTGGTTTGGGTTTAGTGGGACATATCATTTGTTTTTCAACAGGACAATGACCCAACACACCTCCAGGCTGTGTAAGGGCTATTTGACCAAGAAGGAAAGTGATGGAGTGCTGCATCAGATGACCTGGCCTCCACAATCCCCTGACCTCAACCCAATTGAGATGGTTTGGGATGAGTCGGAACGCAGAGTGAAGGAAAAGCAGCCAACAAGTGCTCAGCATATGTGGGAACTCCTTCAAGACTGTTGGAAAAGCATTCCAGGTGAAGCTGGTTGAGAGAATGCCAAGAGTGTGCAAAGCTGTCATCAAGCCAAAGGGTGGCTATTTGAAGAATCTCAAATATAAAATATATTTTGATTTGTTTAACACTTTTTTGGTTACTAAATGATTCCATATGTATTATTCTACAATGTAGAAAATAGTAAAAATAAAGAAAAACCCTTGAATGAGCAGGTGTTCTAAAACTTTTGACCGGTAGTGTATATAACATGTATATATATATATATATCTTTTATTGTTTTTGCTGTTTCCTCTCTACTGTCAGGTATTTACACATCGTATTTTGTCATATTTTTGTTATTGTGATCAATGATGATAAAAGACCCAGTCTGATATTAATATGCAAGTGATTCATGCTATCGACAGCCATCAACATCACTGAGCCCTGCACATCTAATGTGCTGTTTGCTATCTATTGTCAGAAAATAAACTACTGGTCAACTGGGACCGGTGGTTGGTGTTCCTTTCTATATTACACAACGCAAGAGAGATGAAACATCTGTTACATAAACATGACCTACAGTTCATGTGTGCAGTTGGCAGGCTTGTCCATGCGGTGGCCCTCTTTCAGCAGTTTGAACAGCTCCTCGACAGGGATGCCGGGGTACGGGGACCCCCCCAGGGTGAAGATCTCCCAGAGCAGCACCCCATAGGACCACCTGGAGAGAGGGAGGGAGCACAGGTCAGAGGTCAAAGAGCACTGAAGCAGTAACATGGTTCAGCTGTTGTCTTGATTTTATATTCATATCTTATTAAATGCATCCCAACAAGCCTTAACTCAACTCCACATACTGGTCGCAGCATTATTAAATGCATCCCTCACAACAAGCCTTAACTCAACTCCACATACTGGTCGCAATGTTATTAAATGCATCCCTCACAACAAGCCTTAACTCAACTCCACATACTGGTCACAGCGTTATTAAATGCATCCCTCCCAACAAGCCTTAACTCAACTCCACATACTGGTCGCAGTGTTATTAAATGCATTAAATGCACTCAAGTTTTTTAATCCTGTATCTCTCGACACATTCATGAAAATAGTCATGGCCTCTAAACCTTCAAGCTGCATACTGGACCCTATTCCAACTAAACTACTGAAAGAGCTACTTCCTGTGCTTGGCCCTCCTATGTTGAACATAATAAACGGCTCCCTATCCACTGGATGTGAACCAAACTCACTAAAGTGGCAGTAATAAAGCCTCTCTTGAAAAACCCAAACCGTGACCCAGAAAATGTAAAGAACTAAATCGGCCTATATCGAATCTCTCATTCCACTCAATTTTTTTTGAAAAAGCTGTTGTGCAGCAACTCACTGCCTTCCTGAAGACCAATAATGCATAAGAAATCCTTCAGTCTGGTTTTAGACCCCATCACTGCACTCGTGAAGGTGGTAAATGACCTTTTAATGGCGTCAGACCAAGGCTCTGCATCTGTCCTCGTGCTCTTAGACCTTAGTGCTGCTTTTAACACCATCGATCACCACATTCTTTTGGAGAGATTGGAAACCCTAATTGGTCGACACGGACAAGTTCTTGCCTGGTTTAGATCTTATCTGTCGGAAAGATATCAGTTAGTCTCTGTGGATGGTTTGTCCTCTGACAAATCAATAGTATGTTTCGGTGTTCCTCAATGTTCCGTTTTAGGACCACTATTGTTTTCACTACATATTCTACCTCTTGGTGATGTCATTCGGAAACACAATGTCAACTTTCACAGCTGTACATTTTGAGGAAACATGGTGAACCACAAAATTGCCTACACTGGAAGCCTGTGTTTCAGACATAAGGAAGTGGATGGCGGCAAATATTTTACTTTTAAACTCGGACAAAACAGACATGCTAGTTCTAGGTCCCAAGAAACAAAGAGATCTGCTGTTGGATCTGACAGTTAATGTTGATGGTGGTACAGTCGTCTCAAATAAAACTGTGAAGGACCTTGGCGTTACTCTGGACCCTGATCTCTCTTTTGACGAACATATCAAGAATATTTAATGGACAGCTTTTTTCCATCTTTGTAACATTGCAAAAATCTGAAACTTTTTGCAGAAAAGCTAATCAATGCTTTTGTCACTTCTAGATTAGACTACTGCAATGCTCTACTCTCCGGCTACCCGGATAAAGTACTAAATAAACTTCAGTTAGTGCTAAACACAGCTGCTAGAATCTTGACTATACTCAGCCTTGTCTCAGGATAGTAGGTTGTTGGTCTGTTGATATCCCTCTGGTGGTGTGGGGGCTGTGCTTTGGCAAAGTGGGTGGGGTTATATCCTGCCTGGTTGGCCCTGTCCGGGGGTCACAGTGTCCCCCAACCCCCCCCTGTCTCAGCCTCCAGTATCTATGCTGTAATATTCTATATGCTGGGGGGCAAGGGTCAGTCTGTTATATCTGGTGTTATTATCCTGTCTTATCCGGTGTCCTGTGTGAATTTAAGTATGCTCCCTCAAATTCTCTCTCTCTCCCTCCCCTCCTGGAGGACCTGAGCCCTAGGACCATACCTCAGGACTACCTGGCCTGATGACTCCTGGCTGTCCCCAGTCCTCTCCCTCTCTCCCTCTCATCCCGGAGGACCTGAGCCCTAGGACCATGCCTCAGGACTACCTGGCCTGATGACTCCTGGCTGTCCCCAGTCCTCTCCCTCTCTCCCTCTCTCCCTCCCCTCCTGGAGGACCTGAGCCCTAGGACCATGCCTCAGGACTACCTGGCCTGATGACTCCTGGCTGTCCCCAGTCCACCTGGTCGTGCTGCTGCTCCAGTTTCCACTGTTCTGCCTGCGGCTATGGAACCCTGACCTGTTCACCGGACGAGCTACCTTGTCCCAGACCTGCTGTTTACAACTCTCTCTCTCTCTCTACTGCACCTGCTGTCTCGACCTCTGAATGCTCGGCTATGAAAAGCCAAGTGACATTTACTCCTGATGTACTGACCTGTTGCAACCACTGATTATTATTTGACCCTTCTGGTCATCTATGAATGTTTGAACATCTTGAAGCATTTCACGGTAAGGTTGTATTCGGCGCACGTGACAAATAAAATGTGATTTGATTTTAAGAATAATCTGGCCTTAATGGCCATGTACTGTTATAATCTCCACCCGGCACAGCCAGAAGGGGACTGGCCACCCCTCAGAGCCTGGTTCCTCTCTAGGTTTCTTCCTAGGTTCCTGCCTTTCTAGGGAGTTTTTCCTAGCCACTGTGCTTCTACATCTCTATTGCTTGCTGTTTGGAGTTTTAGGCTGGGTTTCTGTATAGCACTTAGTGACATCTGCTGATGTAAAAAGGGCTTCATAAATACATTTGATTGATTGATTGATACAACAGGACTGATACAACAGGACTGAGATAAATAAATGTATATTCACACGCAGGAATGTTTTGATGGTAATTGAGGCTAAGTCATGATATTACAACACATTCCTACTGTCCTGCGTATCGCTCTACATGAGCAGACCAGACCTACTGTGTGGCTGGCTGTGTCAACTTACACATCGCTCTGGTGCGTGTAGATGCGGTCGAACAGAGCCTCTGGTGCCATCCATTTCACGGGCAGACGACCCTGCAACAACACACAGACAACAGAACCGCTGTGTCAGCACGACGAATCAAAACACACAGAAAATACATAACAGATAAACCACTCACACCCACATCCCCCAATCACAGTCTTACCCATAACAGAAAGGAAACACCCCCCAATCACAGTCTTACCCATAACATAAAGGAAACACTTACCCATAACATAAAGGAAACACCCCCCAATCACTGTCTTACCCATAACATAAAGGAAACACCCCCCAATCACTGTCTTACCCATAACAGAAAGGAAACACCCCCCAATCACTGTCTTACCCATAACAGAAAGGACACCCCCCAATCACAGTCTTACCATAACATAAGGAAACACCCCCCAATCACTGTCTTACCCATAACATAAAGGAAACACCCCCCAATCACTGTCTTACCCATAACAGAAAGGAAACACCCCCCAATCACAGTCTTACCCATAACAGAAAGGAAACACCCCCCAATCACTGTCTTACCCATAACAGAAAGGACACCCCCCCATACTAACCCAACCTATTGACCCCTTCCATCAGAGACGGACTACAAAACCCAAACCCAAAACCTTTGCCCCTTTCCCTAAAGCAGACAGGACCTAACCCCAAACCCAACCTATTGACCCCTTCCATCAGCAACATACTACAAACCCCCTAACCCAAACCCATTACCCCTTCCATCACAGACAGGACTCTAACCAAACCCCCAACCCTATTGACCCCTTCCTCGCAACGTGACTACTAACCCAAACCCAAACCTTTTGGCCCCCCTTTCCACAGCAGACATGCTACAACCCAAAACCCACCTTTGCCAGGCCCTTCCATCAGCAAACAGTGACTACAAACCCAAACCCAACCTTTTGCCCCTTTCCCCTCAGCAACATGACTCAAACCCTAACCCCAACCTTTTGACCCCTTCCATCACAACGGACTACTCCCCCTCCCCAACTTTTGACCCCTTCCATAAAAGGACAGGACTACTAACCCTAACCCAACCTATTGACCGGCCCCCTCGAAACATGATATACTAACCCTAACCCAACCTATTGACCCCTTCCATCAGCAGACAGTGACTACTAACCCTAACCCAACCTATTGACCCCTTCCATCAGCAGACAGTGACTACTAACCCTAACCCAACCTATTGACCCCTTCCATCAGCAGACAGTGACTACTAACCCTAACCCAACCTATTGACCCCTTCCATCAGCAGACAGTGACTACTAACCCTAACCCAACCTATTGACCCCTTCCATCAGCAGACAGTGACTACTAACCCTAACCCAACCTATTGACCGGGCCCTTCCATCAGCAGACAGTGACTACTAACCCTAACCCAACCTATTGACCCCTTCCATCAGCAGACAGTGACTACTACCTAACCAACCTATTGACCCCTTCCATCAGCAGGACAGTGACTACTAACCCTAACCCACCTATTGACCCTTCCATCAGCAGACAGTGACTACTAACCCTAACCCAACCCTATTGTACCCCTTACCAGACAGTGCTATACCCTAACCACGCTATTGACGGCCTTCAATCAGATATTGATTGATACTAACCCTAACCCAACTATTGACCCTTCCATCAATAACATGACCTAACCTAACCCAACTATTGACCCCTCCATCAGCAGACAGTGATACTAACCCAACCACCTTGACCAGTGCCCTTCCATCGCAGACTGACCTACTGTCCTCCAACCTATTACCCCTTCCATCCGGGACAGTGACACGAACCCTAACCCAACCTATTGACCCCTTCCATCAGGCAAAGCGCACTAACCAACCAACCCAAACCTTTTGCACCCCAAAACACAGAGACATACAACCCTACACCCACCCCACTATCCCTTCCATCAGCAGAAACCCACTACCCTAAACCTAAACCAAAACCTATTGACCAGGCCCTTCATCAGCCACAGTGACTATTACCCTAACCAACCTAATGACCCCCTCCAGACAGTGACTCTAACCCTAACCAACTATTGACCCCTTCCATCACACACAGGACTCTACCCCTAACCCAACCATGACCCCTCCACCAGCAACAGTGACATAACAACCCAACCCACCTATTGACCCTTCCATCACAGACAAGAATAAACCCTAACCCAACCTATTGACCTTCCATACAAAGGAACACCCACTAACCCTAACCCAAACCAAGACCCCTCCATCCAACATGTGCTACTAACCCAAACCCAACCGACACCCCCATCACAACATGACTACTTACCTAACCCACCTAATTGAACCCCCTTTCCACTGCAGACAGTGACTAAAACCCCATAACCCAACCTTGACCGGCCTCTCCATCGCAACAGTGACTACTAACCCTAACCCAACCTATTGACCCCTTCCATCAGCAGACAGTGACTACTAACCCTAACCCAACCTATTGACCCCTTCCATCAGCAGACATGACTACTAACCCTAACCCAACCTATTGACCCCTTTCATCAGCAGACAGTGGACTACTAACCCTAACCCCAACCTTTACCCTCTTACCATCAGCCAGTATTACTAACCCCTAACCCCACCTATGACCCTCCTCACACAGTGCCCCTTACTAACCAGACATCCTATTGACCAGCCCCCTTCCATCCCCAGACATAGTGCTACTAACCCTAACCAACCTATTGACCCCTTCCATCAGCAGACAGGACTACTAACCCTACCCAACCTATTGACACCCCTTCCATCAGCAGACAGTGAACTAACCCTAACCCACCTATTGACCCCTCCTCACAGACAGTGACCTACCTAACCCTAACCCAACCTATTGACCCCTTCCCATCAGCAGACAGTGACTACTAACCCTAAACCCAACCTATTGACCCGCCTTCCACAGCAGACAGTGACTACTAACCCTAACCACTATGACCCCCTTCCACAGCAGAACCCTAGGACTCCCATATAATCTAGCCAACGCAGTTTTAAGCCCCTCACCGTTTGGACCTTTATCCAGGTCACATCTCCCAGACGAAGTCTGCGATCTTCATCACGTTGTCCTCAGTTACCAGGACGTTCCTGGCTGCCAGATCTCTATGGATACACTGAGGAAGAGGAACCAATTAGTCAGGCTAAATACACTGGACTGGACTTGACTGGACTTGACTGGACTTGACTGGACTGGACTGGGACTGGACTGGACTGGACTAGACTAGACTAGACTAGACTAGACTAGACTAGACTAGACTAGACTAGACTAGACTGGACTGGACTGGACTGGACTGGACTGGACTGGACTGTATTATACCATACTGTAGCATATAGACCAGATATAATCCGAACTAGGGTTGCAAAATTCCGGTAGCTTTCCCAAAATTCCAAGGTTTTCCAGAAATCCCGGTTGGAAGATTCCCGGAATCAGAAGGGAATAAGCAGCGAATCCAGAATTCTCCAACCAGGATTTCTAGAAACCCTGGGAATTTTGGAAAGTAAAGATTTTTGCAACCCTACTATGACCAGTATGCCACCCACCTTCTGTGAGGCCAGGTACTCCATGCCTCGTGCCACCTGGTAGGCACAGGACACCAGGTCTTTAAAGGTGAGCTGCTCGTCAGGGATCTTACAGGTGTCGAAGGAGTAGTCCATCCCCGGGGGCCGACGGGCTCTCAGGTACTCCCTCAGGTTCCCTTTAGACGCATACTCCACCAGCACGTACAGGGAACCTGGGGAATATATATACTGTATTTATACTTTATACCAACCTTAACCCTGTTAACTCTAACCCCTAAACCCTAACCCTGTTAACTCTAATCCCTAAACCCTAACCCTGTTAACTCTAATCCCTAACCCTGTTAACTCTAACCCCTAACCCTGTTAACTCTAACCCTAACCCTGTTAACTCTAATCCCTAACCCTGTTAACTATAACCCCTAACCCTGTTAACGCTAACCCCTAAACCCTAACCCTGTTAACTCTAACCCCTAACCCTGTTAACTCTAACCCTAACCCTGTTAACTCTAACCCCTAACCCTGTTAACTCTAACCCTAACCCTGTTACACTCTAACCCCTAACCCTCCCTTTTAACTCTAACCCTAACCCCTCCACCCTGTTAACTTTAAACCCCCCAACCCTAACCCGTTAACTCTAACCCTAACCCAACCCTGTTAACTCTAACCCCTAAACCTGTAACCTAACCCCTAACCCTTTAACTCTAAACCCCTAACCCCTGTTAACTCTAACCCCTAACCCTGTTAACTCTAACCCTAACCCCCTAACCCTGTTAACTTTAACCCTAATCACCTAACTCTAACCCCTAACCCCTAACCCTGTTAACTCTAACCCCAACCCTAACCCTGTTAACTCTAACCCCTAACCCTGTTAACTCTAACCCCTAACCCCTAACCCTGTTAACTTTAACCCCTAACCCTGTTAACTCTAACCCCTAACCCCTAACCCTGTTAACTCTAACCACTAACCCTAACTCTGTTAACTCTAACCCCAAATGACTATGTGATCACGCTCTCCGTAGCCGATGTGAGTAAGACTTTTAAGCAGGTCAACATTCACAAGGTCGCAGGGCCAAACGGATTACCAGGACGTGTACTCCGAGCATGTGCTGACCAACTGGCAAGTGTCTTCACTGACATTTTCAACATGTCCCTGACTGAGTCTGTAATACCAACATGTTTCAAGCAGACCACCATAGTCCCCGTGCCCAAGGACACTAAGATAACCTGCCTAAATGACTACCGACCCGTATCACTGACGTCTGTAGCCATGAAGTGCTTTGAAAGGCTGGTCATGGCTCACATCAACACCATTATCCCAGAAAATCTAGACCCACTCCAATTTGCATACCGCCCCAACAGATCCACAGATGATGCCATCTCTATTGCACTCCACACTGCCCTTTCCCACCTGGACAAGAGGAACACCTACGTGAGAATGCTATTCATTGACTACAGCTCAGCATTCAACACCATAGTGCCCTCAAAGCTCATCACTAAGCTAAGGATCCTGGGACTAAACACCTCCCCCTGCAAACTGGATCCTGGACTTCCTGACGGGCCGCCCCCAGGTGGTAAGGGTAGGTAACAACACATCTGCCACACTGATCCTCAACACGGGGGCCCCTCAGGGGTGCGTGCTCAGTCCCCTCCTGTACTCCCTGTTCACCTATGACTGCATGGCCAGGCACCACTCCAACACCATCATTAAGTTTGTCGACGACACAACAGTGGTAGGCCTGATCACCAACAACGATGAGACAGCCGTGTGGTGCCAGGATAACAACCTCTCCCTCAACGTGACCAAGACAAAGGAGATGATTGTGGACTACAGGAAAAAAAAAGAGGACTGAGCACGCCCCCATTCTCATCGACGGGGCTGTAGTGGAACCGGTTTGAGAGCTTCAAGTTCCTTGGTGTCCACATCACCAACGAACTATCATGGTCCCAAACACACCAAGACAGTCGTGAAGAGGGCACGACAAAGCCTATTCCCCCCTCAGGAGACTGAAAAGATTCGGCATGGGTCCTCAGATCCTCAAAAAATTATACAACTGCACCATCGAGAGCATCCTGACTGGTTGCATCACCGCCTGGTATGGCAACTGCTTGGCCTCCGACCGCAAGGCCACTACAGAGGGTAGTGCGTACGGCCCAGTACATCACTGGGGCCAAGCTTCCTGCCATCCAGGACCTCTATACCAGGCGGTGGTCAGAGGAAGGCCCTCAAAATTGTCAAAGACTCCAGCCACCCTAGTCATAGACTGTTCTCTCTGCTACCGCACGGCAAGCGGTACCGGAGTGCCAAGTCTAGGTCCAAAAGACTTCTCAACAGCTTCTACCCCCAAGCCATAAGACTCCTGAACAGCTAATCATGGCTACCCGGACTATTTGCACTGCCCCCCCACCCCATCTTTTTACGCAGCTGCTACTCTGTTAATTATTTATGCATAGTCACTTTAACTCTACCCACATGTACATATTACTTCAACTACCTCAACTAGCCGGTGCCCCCGCTCATTGACTCTGCACCGGTACCCCCCTGTATACAGTGGGGGAAAAAAGTATTTAGTCAGCCACCAATTGTGCAAGTTCTCCCACTTAAAAAGATGAGAGACCTGTAATTTTCATCATAGGTACACGTCAACTATGACAGACAAAATGAGATTTTTTTTCTCCAGAAAATCACATTGTAGGATTTTTAAATAAATTTATTTGCAAATTATGGTGGAAAATAAGTATTTGGTCAATAACAAAAGTTTCTCAATACTTTGTTATATACCCTTTGTTGGCAATGACACAGGTCAAACGTTTTCTGTAAGTCTTCACAAGGTTTTCACACACTGTTGCTGGTATTTTGGCCCATTCCTCCATGCAGATCTCCTCTAGAGCAGTGATGTTTTGGGGCTGTCGCTGGGCAACACGGACTTTCAACTCCCACCAAAGATTTTCTATGGGGATCTGGAGACTGGCTAGGCCACTCCAGGACCTTGAAATGCTTCTTACGAAGCCACTCCTTCGTTGCCCGGGCGGTGTGGTTTGGGATCATTGTCATGCTGAAAGACCCAGCCACGTTTCATCTTCAATGCCCTTGCTGATGGAAGGAGGTTTTCACTCAAAATCTCACGATACATGGCCCCATTCATTCTTTTCCTTTACACGGATCAGTCGTCCTGGTCCCTTTGCAGAAAAAACAGCCCCAAAGCATGATGTTTCCACCCCCATGCTTCACAGTAGGTATGGTGTTCTTTGGATGCAACTCAGCATTCTTTGTCCTCCAAACACGACGAGTTGAGTTTTTACCAAAAAGTTATTTTGGTTTCATCTGACCATATGACATTCTCCCAATCCTCTTCTGGATCATCCAAATGCACTCTAGCAAACTTCAGACGGGCCTGGACATGTACTGGCTTAAGCAGGGGGACACGTCTGGCGCTGCAGGATTTGAGTCCCTGGCGGCATAGTGTGTTACTGATGGTAGGCTTTGTTACTTTGGTCCCAGCTCTCTGCAGGTCATTCACAACATTTACATTTACATTTTAGTCATTTAGCAGACGCTCTTATCCAGAGCGACTTACAGTTAGTGAGTGCATACATTATATTTTTCATACTGGGCCCCCGTGTGGTTCTGGGATTTTTGCTCACCGTTCTTGTGATCATTTTGACCCCACGGGGTGAGATCTTGCGTGGAGCCCCAGATCGAGGGAGATTATCAGTGGTCTTGTATGTCTTCCATTTCCTAATAATTGCTCCCACAGTTGATTTCTTCAAACCAAGCTGCTTACCTATTGCAGATTCAGTCTTCCCAGCCTGGTGCAGGTCAACAATTTTGTTTCTGGTGTCCTTTGACAGCTCTTTGGTCTTGGCCATAGTGGAGTTTGGAGAGTTTGTGGACAGGTGTCTTTTATACTGATAACAAGTTCAAACAGGTGCCATTAATACAGGTAATGAGTGGAGGACAGAGGAGCCTCTTAAATAAGAAGTTACAGGTCTGTGAGAGCCAGAAATCTTGCTTGTTTGTAGGGGACCAAATAGTTATTTTCCACCATAATTTGCAAATAAATTCATTAAAAATCCTACAATGTGATTTTCTGGATTTCTTTTCTTCTAAATTTGTCTGTCATAGTTGACGTGTACCTATGATGAAAATTACAGGCCTCTCTCATCTTTTTAAGTGGGATAACTTGCACAACTGGTGGCTGACTAAATACTTTTTTCCCCACTGTATATAGCCTCCCTACTGTTATTTTATTTTACTTCTGCTCTTTTTTACTCAACACTTTTTTGTTGTTGTTTTATTTTACTTTTTTATTAAAAATAAATGCACTGTTGGTTAAGGGCTTGTAAGTAAGCATTTCACTGTAATGTCTGCACCTGTTGTATTCGGCGCATGTGGCCAATAAAATTTGATTTGATTTGATTTTAACCCCTAACCCTGTTAACTCTAACCGTGCTAACTCTAACCCCTAACCCTGTTAACTCTAACCCCTAACCCCTAACCCTGTTAACTCTAACCGTGTTAACTCTAACCCCTAATCCTGTTAACTCTAACCCCTAACCCCTAACCCTGTTAACTCTAACCCCTATCCCTGTTAACTCTAACCCCTAACCCCTAACCCTGTTAACTCTAACCCCTAACCCTATTAACTATAACCCCTAACCCCTAACCCTTGTTAACTCTAACCCCTAACCCCTAACCCTGTTAACTATAACCCCTAACCCTGTTAACTCTAACCCCTAACCCTGTTAACTCTAACCCCTAACCCTGTTAACTCTAACCCCTAACCCTAACCCTATTAACTATAACCCCTAACCCCTAACCCTGTTAACTCTAACCCCTAACCACTAACCTTGTTAACCCTAACCCCTAACCCTTTTAACTCTAACCCCTAACCCTGTTAACTCTAACCCTGTTAACTCTAACCCCTAACCCCTGTTAACTCTAAACCCCTAACCCCTAACCCTGGTTAACCTCTAACCCTGTTAACCCTAACCCCTACCACCTGTTAACATCTAACCCTGTTAACCCTAACCCCCTAACCCTGTTAAACTCTAACCCCTAACCCTGTCAACTCTAACCCCTAACCCTGTTTACTCTAACCCCTAAACCCCATAACCCCTAAACCCTGTTAACTCCTAAACCCCCTACACAAATACCTCGATTAACTCTAAACCTAACACCCTATTAACTATAACTCCCCCTAACCATGTTAACCGCTAACCCCTAACCCCTAACCCTGGTAACCTCTAACCCCTAACCCCTGTTTACTCTAACCCCCTAACCCTGTTTCAACTCTAACCCCGACCCTGTTAACTTCTAACCCCTAATCATGTTAACTCTAAACCCCTAACCCTGTTAACCTCTAACCCCTAACCCTGTTAACTCTTACCCCTAACCCTAAACCCTGTTAACTCTAACCCCTAACCCTGTTAAACTCTAACCCCTAACCCCTAACCCTGTTAAACTCTAAACCCCTAACCCTGTTAACATCTAACCCCTAACCCTGTTAACTCTAACCCCTAACCCTTTTAACTCTAACCCCTAACCCCTAACCCTGTTAACTCTAACCCCTAACCCTGTTAACTCTAACCCCTAACCCTGTTAACTCTAACCCCTAACCCTGTTAACTCTAACCCCTAATCCTGTTAACTCTAACCCCTAACCCTGTTAACTCTAACCCCTAACCCTGTTAACTCTTACCCCTAACCCTAACCCTGTTAACTCTAACCCCTAACCCTGTTAACTCTAACCCCTAACCCCTAACCCTGTTAACTCTAACCCCTAACCCTGTTAACTCTAACCCCTAACCCTGTTAACTCTAACCCCTAACCCTTTTAACTCTAACCCCTAACCCCTAACCCTGTTAACTCTAACCCCTAACCCTGTTAACTCTAACCCCTAACCCTGTTAACTCTAACCCCTAACCCTAATCCTGTTAACTCTAACACCTAACCCTGTTAACTCTAACCCTGTTAACTCTAACCCTGTTAACTCTAACCCCTAACCCTGTTAACTCTAATCCCTAACCCTGTTAACTCTAACCCTGTTAACTCTAACCCTGTTAACTCTAACCCCTAACCCTGTTAACTCTAACCCCTAACCCCTAACCCTGTCAACTCTAACCCCTAACCCTGTTAACTCTAACCCCTAACCCCTAACCCCTAACCCTGTTAACTCTAACCCCTAATCCTGTTAACTCTAAACCCTAACCCTATTAACTATAACCCCTAACCCCTAACCCTGTTAACTCTAACCCCTAACCCTAACCCTGTTAACTCTAACCCCTAACCCTGTTAACTCTAACCCTGTTAACTCTAACCCCTGTTAACTCTAACCCCTGTTAACTCTAACCCTAACCCTGTTAACTCTAACCCCTAACCCTGTTAACTCTAACCTTGTTAACTCTAACCCTGTTAACTCTAACCCCTAACCCTGTTAACTCTAACCCCTAACCCTGTTAACTCTAACCCCTAACCCTGTTAACTCTAACCTTGTTAACTCTAACCCTGTTAACTCTAACCCTGTTACTCTAACCCTGTTAACTATTAACTTCTAACCCCTAACCCTGTTAACTCTAACCTTGTTAACTCTAACCCTGTTAACTCTAACCCTGTTAACCCTAACCCTGTTAACTCTAACCCCCAACCCTGTTAACTCTAACCTTGTTAACTCTAACCCTGTTAACTCTAACCCTGTTAACTCTAACCCTGTTAACTCTAACCCCTAACCCTGTTAACTCTAACCCTGTTAACTCTAACCCTGTTAACTCTAACCACTGTTAACTCTAAACCCTGTTAACTCCTAACCCTAACCCTGTTAACTCTAACCCTGTTAACTCTGAACCTGTTAACTCTAAACCCTGTTAACTCTAACCCTGTTAAACTCTAACCCTGTAACTCTAACCCTGTTAACTCTAACCCCTAACCCTGTTAACTCTAACCCCTAACCCTGTTAACTCTAACCTTGTTAACTCTAACCCTGTTAACTCTAACCTTGTTAACCCTAACCCTGTTAACTCTAACCCTGTTAACTCTAACCTTGTTAACCCTAACCTTGTTAACTCTACCCTGTTAACTCTAACCCTGTTTAACTCTAACCTTGTTAACCCTAACCCCTGTTAACTCTAAACCCTGTTAACTCTAACCCCTAACCCTGTTTAACTCTAACCCTGTTAACCTCTAACCCTGTTAACTCTAACCCTGTTAACTCTAACCCCTAACCCTGTTAACTCTAACCCTGTTTAACAACTCTAACCCTGTTAACTCTAACCCTGTTAACTCTAACCCTGTTAACTCTAACCCTGTTAACTCTAACCCCTAACCCTGTTTAACTCTAACCCTGTTAACTCTAAACCCTGTTAACTCTAACCCCTAACCCTGTTTAACCCTAACCCTGTTAACTCTAAACCCCTAACCCTGTTAACTCTAACCTTGTTAACTCTAACCCTGTTAACTCCCTAAAACCCCTGTTTTTTTAACTCTAACCCCTAACCCTGTTAAATCTAACCCCTAACCCTGTAACTCTAACCTGGTTAACTCTAACCTGGTTAACTCTAACCCTGTTAACTCTAACCCCTAACCCTGTTAACTCTAACCCCTAACCCTGTTAACTCTAACCCTGTTAACTCTAAACCCTGTTTAACTCTAACCCTGTTAACTCTAACCAACCCTGTAACTCTAAACCCCTAACCCTGTTAACTCTAACCCTGTTAACTCTAACCTGTTAACCTAACCCTGTTAACTCTAACTCTGTTAACTCTAACACCTAACCTACCTGTTAACTCTAACCCCTACCCCTAACCCTGTTAACTCTAAACCCCTAAAACCCTGTTAACTCTAACCCCTAACCCTAACCCTGTTAACTCTAACACCTGTTAACTCTAACCCGTTAACTCTAACCCTGTAACTCTAACCCTGTTAACTCTAACCCCTAACCCTGTTAACTCTAACCCCTAACCCTGTTAACTCTAACCCCTAACCCTGTTAACTCTAACCCTGTTAACTCTAACCCTGTTAACTCTAACCCTGTTAACCCTAACCCTGTTAACTCTAACCCTGTTAACCCTAACCCTGTTAACCCTAACCCTGTTAACTCTAACCCTGTTAACTCTAACCCCTAACCCTGTTAACTCTAACCCTGTTAACTCTAACCCTGTTAACTCTAACCCCTAACCCTGTTAACTCTAACCCTGTTAACTCTAACCCCTAACCCTGTTAACTCTAACCCTGTTAACTCTAACCCTGTTAACTCTAACCCCTAACCCTGTTAACCCTAACCCTGTTAACTCTAACCCTGTTAACTCTAACCCCTAACCCTGTTAACTCTAACCCTGTTAACTCTAACCCCAACCCTCAGGTTCCCTTTAAAGGCTTACTACACCAGAACATACAGGGATCCTGGGAGGGTACCAGTGGAGGCTGCAGAGGGGAGGACAGCTCATAGTCATGGAATATTATCCAACACATGGTTTTCATGTACCATTCCATTTCACTCCACTCCAGCCATTATTATGAGCCGACCTCCCCTGGAGGATACATAGTCACTCAGTAAATACATCTCTGTCTTTATATGGATAATGGTTAACAGTATAATGCCCTCTTTGTTAAATATAATATGCCATTTAGCAGACACTTTTATCCAAAGCGACTTACAGTCATGTGCGCATACATTTTTACGTATGGGTGGTCCCGGGGATCGAACCCACTACCCTGGCGTTACAAGCGCCATGCTCTACCAGCTGAGCTACAGAGGACCAGAGGGTTAGGGGTTAGGGGTTAGGGGTTAGTCTAGTAAGTTCAGAGGACCACTGAGCTGTTACAGTATGTCAGGGTCATACGCTCTGCATTCCTCTGAACTTACCTTCCTGTGTACATGCTCCCAGCAGGTTGTAACTTACCTTCCTGTGTACATGCTCCCAGCAGGTTGTAACTTACCTTCCTGTGTACATGCTCCCAGCAGGTTGTAACTTACCTTCCTGTGTACATGCTCCCAGCAGGTTGTAACTTACCTTCCTGTGTACATGCTCCCAGCAGGTTGTAACTTACCTTCCTGTGTACATGCTCCCAGCAGGTTGTAACTTACCTTCCTGTGTACATGCTCCCAGCAGGTTGTAACTTACCTTCCTGTGTACATGCTCCCAGCAGGTTGTAACTTACCTTCCTGTGTACATGCTCCCAGCAGGTTGTAACTTACCTTCCTGTGTACATGCTCCCAGCAGGTTGTAACTTACCTTCCTGTGTACATGCTCCCAGCAGGTTGTAACTTACCTTCCTGTGTACATGCTCCCAGCAGGTTGTAACTTACCTTCCTGTGTACATGCTCCCAGCAGGTTGTAACTTACCATCCTGTGTACATGCTCCCAGCAGGTTGAGGATGTTTTTGTGTTTTCCAATCATCTTCATCATCTCCATCTCTGAGACCAGGTCTGACAGGTCCTTATCTGTGGCGTTGTCTGATGGAGAGAAAGGGGGACATACAGACAGAGGGAGAGAGAGAGGACATACAGACAGAGGGAGAGAGAGGGGGACAGACCGACAGACGGAGGGAGAGAGAGAGGGGACAGACAGACAGACAAAGGGGAGAGAGAGGGGGACACAGACAGAGTGGAGAGAGAGGGGGGACACACAGACAGACAGAGGGAGATGAGAGGGGGACACACAGACAGAGGGAGAGAGAGAGAGGACATACAGACAGAGGGAGAGAGAGGGGGACAGACAGACAGACAGACAGACAGAGGGAGAGAGAGGGGGACACACAGACAGAGGGAGAGAGAGGGGGACAGACAGACAGAGGGAGAGAGAGGGGGACACACAGACAGAGGGAGAGAGAGGGGGGAGGGGACAGACAGAGGGAGGGAGAGAGAGGGGGACACACAGACGGAGGGATAGAGAGACAGACAGACAGACGGAGGGAGAGAGAGACAGAGGGAGGGAGAGAGAAGGGACAGACAGAGGGATAGAGAGGGGGACAGACAGACAGACAGAGGGAGAGAGAGGGGGACAGACAGACAGAGGGAGAGAGAGGGGGACACACAGACGGAGGGATAGAGAGAGGGGGACAGACAGACAAGACAGAGGAGAGAAGGGGGACAACAGACGGGAGGGATAAGAGAGGACAGAGACGAACGGAGGGGAGAGAGAGACGAGAGAGGGAGAGACAGAGAGGAAGAGAAGGCAACAGACGGAGGAGGGATAGGAGGGGGACAACAGACGGAGGAGAGAGAGACAGAGGAGGGAGAGAGAAGGGGACCAGACAGAGGGATAGAGAGGGGGACAGACAGACGGAGGGAGGGATAGGGAGGGGACAGACAGACGGAGGGAGAGGAGAGACAGAGGGAGGAGAGAGAGGGAAGGAGGGCAGACAGAGGGATAGAGAGGGGGACAGACAGACGAGGAGGGATAGGGAGGGGCGACACGAAGAGGGATAGAGAGGGGACAGACAGGGAGCAGAGGGAAGAAGAAGAGGGGGACAGACAGACAGAGGGAGAGAGAGGGGGACAGACAGAGGGATAGAGAGGGGGACAGACAGAGGGAGAGAGAGGGGGACAGACAGAGGGAGAGAGAGGGGGACAGACAGAGGGAGGGAGAGAGAGGGGGACAGACAGAGGGATAGAGAGAGAGACAGAGGGAGGGAGAGAGAAGGGACAGACAGAGGGAGGGATAGGGAGGGGGACAGACAGACAGAGGGAGAGAGAAGGGGACAGACAGACGGAGGGAGAGAGAGGGGGACAGATGGACAGACGGAGGGAGGGAGAGGGGACAGATGGACAGACGGAGGGAGGGAGAAGAAGTCATTTGAATTCCAGATCAAGTTGTAATTTCCTGAAGAGTAGATAGACTGAGACAGTCATTCTCTATGAGGAGATAGACAGTCAGAGATAATCAGCCTCTCAATGAGGAGATAGACAGTCAGAGTAAATCAGCCTCTCAATGAGGAGATAGACAGTCAGAGATAATCAGCCTCTCAATGAGGAGATAGACAGTCAGAGATAATCAGCCTCTCTATGAGGAGATAGACAGTCAGAGATAATTTGCCTCTCTATGAGGAGATAGACAGTCAGAGATAATTTGCCTCTCTATGAGGAGATAGACAGTCAGAGATACAATCGTCAGAGAAAATCGTTAAAGACTCCAACAACCCAAGCCATAGCCTAGTCACCTGACCCCTCTACATATCTACCTCCATCACTCCAGTATCCCTGTCCCCTTACCCCTATACATATCTACCTCCATCACTCCAGTATCCCTGTCCCCTTACCCCTATACATATCTACCTCCATCACTCCAGTATCCCCTTACCCCTATACATATCTACCTCCATCACTCCAGTATCCTGTCCCCTTACCCCTATACATATCTACCTCCATCACTCCAGTATCCCTGTCCCCTTACCCCTATACATATCTACCTCCATCACTCCAGTATCCCTGTCCCCTTACCCCTATACATATCTACCTCCATCACTCCAGTATCCCTGTCCCCTTACCCCTATACATATCTACCTCCATCACTCCAGTATCCCTGTCCCCTTACCCCTATACATATCTACCTCCATCACTCCAGTATCCCTGTCCCCTTACCCCTATACATATCTACCTCCATCACTCCAGTATCCCTGCACATTGTTAATATGTTATTAGAACTGACCCTGTATATAGTAGGCTTACTTAATTTATCGTGTTCTTCATATTTCTTAGTTTAATTTATTGTGTTTCTGTTGTACCTTGTTATTTTTAGTACTACATTGATATTGATTACTGCATTGTTGTGGTTAGAGCTGGTAAGACAAGCATTTCACTGTACTTGTGCACATAACATTAAAACTTGAAACTGAAACAACAACCTTTGAGCATCTTCACAGCGACGTTGAGGGGTTTGTTGGGTTTCTCCTTGTCGATCCCGATGGCCTCTGCCATCACCACCTGACCGAAGCAGCCTTCTCCCAGAGGTTTACCCAGCGTTAGTCTGAAACACAACCACAACTAGTTAGACTGAAACACAACCACAACACAACCACAACTAGTTAGACTGAAACACAACCACAACACAACCACAACTAGTTAATAATAATATAATAATATGCCATTTAGCAGACGCTTTTATCCAAAGCGACTTACAGTCATGCGTGCATACATTTTTGTGTATGGGTGGTCCCGGGGATCGAACCCACTACCTTGGCGTTACAAGTGCCGTGCTCTACCAGCTGAGCTACAGAGAACCAGTTAGTCTGAAACACAACCACAACACAACCACAACTAGTTAGACTGAAACAGAACCACAACTAGTTAGACTGAAACACAACACCAACCACAACACAACCACAACTAGTTAGACTGAAACACAACCACAACACAACCACAACTAGTTAGACTGAAACACAACCACAACTAGTTAGACTGAAACACAACCACAACACAACCACAACTAGTTAGACTGAAACACAAACAACACAACACAACTAGTTAGCTGAAACACACAACCACAACTAGTTAGACTGAAACAAACCACAACTAGTTAGACTGAAAACCAAACACAACCACAACTAGTTAGACTGAAACACAACCACAACTAGTTAGACTGAAACACAACCACAACTAGTTAGACTGAAACACAACCACAACACAACCACAACTAGTTAGACTGAAACACAACCACAACTAGTTAGACTGAAACACAACCACAACTAGTTAGACTGAAACACAACCACAACTAGTTAGACTGAAACACAACCACAACTAGTTAGACTGAAACACAACCCACAAACATAGTTAGACTGAAACACAACCACAACTAGTTAGACTGAAACACACCACAACACAACCACAACTAGTTAGACTGAAACACAACCACAACTAGTTAGTCTGAAACACAACCACAACACAACCACAACTAGTTAGACTGAAACACCACAACACAACCACAACTAGTTAGTCTGAAACACAACCACAACACAACCACAACTAGTTAGACTGAAACACAACCACAACACAACCACAACTAGTTAGACTGAAACACAACCACAACACAACCACAACTAGTTAGACTGAAACACAACCACAACTAGTTAGACTGAAACACAACCACAACTAGTTAGACTGAAACACAACCACAACTCTTATCTGGGAGATCCAAGAAAGTGATCTAATGATGTCCAAAATATTATCTGTGTATTTCAATCCTCAAAATAATTATTTCCTGCAGCAGCATTATCTAAACAACAAGTCTAAAGCCACCCAGCTGTCTCTTGGTAACAGACTGATATACTGAGTCCTACAGTGCTAGCTATGGTATTTCTCCAGGCGTTGCTAAGGTAACGGGTATCTCTCTGTCTCACCTGGTCCTAGAGAACTCCCATTTGGGGTCTGATGGAAGCTCCAGCTCTGAGACGTTGGACAGCATTGGTCCATCGCTGGACGACAGGCGTGCAATCCTGACCAATGGCGTGTTGGAGTTCATGGAGGAGTTAGACTCCAAGGAAACCTGCTGGGTGATAAAGACAGACTGTTATAATCTCTGAAGAGGAGCGAGGGACGAGGGAGGAGAGGAATGTGCTGTTTCAACAGGCAGGGTGCATCAGGTTGATTCACTCCACTGGGTCATTTCTTTGAAAGATGGCCTCCTCTCTGAAACCTCCGGTCTTCTTCAGTGACGGGTGTATATCTGGGAGTATTAGGAGCAGGGCAGGATAAAGTAGTGGTAGTGGTATAGAGACAGTAGTGGTATATACATACACTACATGACCAAAAGTATGTGGACAGCTGCTCGTCGAACATCTCATTCTAAAATCATGGGCATTAATATGGATATAGTGGTCCTCTGTAGCTCAGCTGGTAGAGCATGATGCTTGTAACGCCAGGGTAGTGGGTTCGATCCCTGGGACCACCCATACGTAAAAATGTATGCGCACATGACTGTAAGTCGCTTTGGATAAAAGCGTCTGCTAAATGGCATATTATTATTATTATTATAGAGTTGGTCCCCCCTTTACTGCTATAACAGCCTCCACTCTTCTGGGAAGGCTTTCCACTAGATGTTGGAACATTGCTGCAGGGACTTGCATCCATTCAGCCACAAGACCATTAGTGAGGTCGGGCACTGATGTTGGGCGATTAGGCCTGGCTCACAGTGGACGTTCCAATTCATCCCAAAGGTGTTCGATGGGGTTGAGGTCAGGGCTCTGTGCAGGCCAGTCAAGTTCTTCCACACCGATCTCAACAAACCCTTTCTGTATGGACATCGCTTTGCGCACGGGGGCATTGTCATGCAGAAACAGGAAAGGGCCTTAACCCAAACTGTTGCCACAAAGTTGGAAGCACAGAACCTTCTAGAATGTCATTGTATGGTGTAGCGTTAAGGTTTCCCTTCACTGGAACTAAGTGGCCTCAGACCATTATTTTTCCTCCACCAAACTTTACAGTTGGCACTATGCATTGGGGCAGGTAGCATTCTCCTGGCATCCACCAAATCCAGATTCGTCTGTCGGACTGCCAGATGGTGAAGCGTGATTCATCACTCCACAGAACTCGTTTCCACTGCTCCAGAGTCCAATGGCAGCGAGCTTTACACCCCTCCAGCCGACGCTTGGCATTGCACATGGTGATCTTAGGCTTGTGTGCGGCTGCTCGGCCATGGAAACCCATTTCATGAAGCTCCCGACGAACAGTTCTTGTGCTGATGTTGCTTCCAGAGGCAGTTTAGAACTCGGTAGTGAGTGTTGCAACCGAGGACAGCACTTGGCAGTCCCGTTCTGTGAGCTTGTGTGGTCTACCACTTCGCGGCTGAGCCGTTGTTGCTCCTAGATGTTTCCACTTCACAATAACAGCACTTACAGTTGACCGGGGCAGCTCTAGCAGGGCAGAAATTTGACGAACTGACTTGTTGGAAAGTTGGCATCCTATGACGGTGCCACGTTGAAAGTCACTGAGCTCTTCAGTAAGGCCATTCTACTGCCAATGTTTGTCTATGGAGATTGCATGGCTGTGTGCTCGATTCTATACACCTCTCAGCAAAGGTGTGGCTGAAATAGCCAAATCCACTAATTTGAATATATAGTGCATATATATATATATATACACATACACTACCGTTCAAAAGTTTGGGGTCACTTAGAAATGTCCTTGTTTTCGAAAGAAAAGCATTTTTTTTGTCCATTAAAATAACATCAAATTGATCAGAAATACAGTGCAGACATTGTTAATGTTGTAAATGGCTATTGTAGCTGGAAACGGCTGGTTTTTAATGGAATATCTACATAGGCGTACAGAGGCCCATTATCAGCAACCATCAGTCCTGTGTTCCAATGGCACGTTGTGTTTGCTAATCCAAGTTTATCATTTTAAAAGGCTAATTGGTCATTAGAAAACCCTTTTGCAATTATGTTAGCACAGCTGAAAACTGTTGTGCTGATTAAAGAAGCAATACAACTGGCCTTCTTGAGACTAGTTGAGTATCTGGAGCATCAGCAATTGTGGGTTCGATTACAGGCTCAAAATGGCCAGAAACAAATAACTTTCTTCTGAAACTCGTCAGTCTATTCTTGTTCTGAGAAATGAAGGCTATTCCATGCGAGAAATTGCCAAGAAACTGAAGATCTCGTACAACGCTGTGTACTACTCCTTTCACAGAACAGCGCAAACTGGCTCTAACCAGAATAGAAAGAGGAGTGGGAGGCCCCGGTGCACAACTGAGCAAGAGGACAAATACATTAGAGTGTCTAGTTTGAGAAACAGGCCCCTCACAGTGAGATAAGTGATTGAGAGGTCGAGGAGTGTGTCAGTTTGTTAGTAGGCAAACAGAAGAGAGTCCTACCCTCCTCCATAGCTTCCTTTCATCGAGGATACTCATGTGTAACCTACCACGGAAGACATTTGAAATCTGCCACAGCACTTTGAATCAGCTTTGTTTTGTCAGAGGAGAAAAACATCCCCACAATATGTTATTTTTTGTTGTTGTACCCCTGTTTTCTCCCCAATTTCGTGATATCCAATGACGATCTTGTCTCATCGCTGCAACTCCCCAACGGGCTCAGGAGAGGCAAAGGTCGAGTCATGCGTCCTCTGAAACATGAACCGCCGAGCCACGCTTCTTAACACCCACCCGCTTAACCCAGAAGCACCAATGTGTCGGAGGAAACACTGTTCAACTGACGACCAAAGTCAGCCTGCAGGCGCACAGTCCGCCACAAGGAGTCGCTAGAGCGCAATGAACCAAGTAAAGCCCCCCCCAGTGCAAACCCTCCCCTAACCCGGACAACGCTGGGCCAAACCCTCCCCTAACCCGGACAACGCTGGGCCAAACCCTCCCCTAACCCGGACAACGCTGGGCCAAAACCCTCCCCTAACCCGGACAACGCTGGGCCAAACCCCCCCTAACCCGGACAACGCTGGGCCAAACCCTCCCCTAACCCGGACAACGCTGGGCCAAACCCTCCCCTAACCCGGACAACGCTGGGCCAAACCCTCCCCTAACCCGGACAACGCTGGGCCAAACCCTCCCCTAACCCGGACAACGCTGGGCCAAACCCTCCCCTAACCCGGACAACGCTGGGCCAAACCCTCCCCTAACCCGGACAACGCTGGGCCAAACCCTCCCCTAACCCGGACAACGCTGGGCCAAACCCTCCCCTAACCCGGACAACGCTGGGCCAAACCCTCCCCTAACCCGGACAACGCTGGGCCAAACCCTCCCCTAACCCGGACAACGCTGGGCCAAACCCTCCCCTAACCCGGACAACGCTGGGCCAATTGTGCGGCGCCCTATGGGACTCCTAGTCCCGGCCGGTTGTGACCCAGCCTGGGATCAAACCCGGGTCTGTAGTGACGCCGCAACAGTGCGATGCAGTGCCTTAGACCGCTGCGCCACTTGGGAGGCCAGTTACTTATTGTTTTATCTAGAAAATGTCTTGCACAACTAACTTAATTTGTTTGATCACTTTACACATTTATTTTGTGAACCAACTCCTGTAAACATTATTTGCCAAATGACGCGAGGGGAGAAGGACCTTCTCATTTCCATCCACGTTCACTCTGCTCACCGGCTCTCCCCGATTAACTTTGACCTTTTTCAAAAGGAGGCGAGAGAGGACAAAGGAGAGAGGTCGCAGGCGGTGAGAACATGTAATTGATAAAAGGCCAATGTCTGCTACAGTAACATAGGAAGAGAGGAAGGTATAAAGGTTTAAAGGTTTGTTGGAAATCTTGTATCTACTTTCTGTTACCTGTCTCTTTAAGGGGAACTTGGAGAGTTTCTGTATGGGCGGGGAGGGCAGGGTCTTCTGGGTAGACATCCTCATACGACAGAGGATGATGATGACGACGGCCAGGATGAAGAGCACGCAGCCCGTCACGTAGATCAGGATGTCAGCATAGTCATCCTCCTTGTCACCTTCATGCAGCGCTGGGAGAGTCAGGGGATAGAGGTCACAGAGTTAACGTTGGACTACAGTCACAACCACAACTACACTACAACCATTGCAGACGGGTCCCAGATCTGCTTGTGCTATCATGTCAACTGCTTATCCCTCATTATCAAGATTTGTGTGACAATGTGTTATAAGGAGTTGGAAACTTGGCATAAGAGCAGAAAAATGACAGTAACCAGGCCACAGAATCTGAATCAGAATCACAACCATTGTGTTTAAATGTGTTGATTAATACCATTCTGTCTTTGCTCAGTGTGTCACAACCACAACTACAGTACAATGTTGATTAAACTAAAATATACATTGTTTTCATTACCATCTGGGCCCCAGGATGAGTAGCTGCTGAAAGAGCAACAGCTAATACGGATCCTAATGAACTAAACTAAACCATTCTAAACATGTCTTTACTAAGTAGCACAATTAAACTAGAATAAGACTGTCTCAGGTCAACGTAGCAACCCTTATAAGGAGTAGTGTGGGAAAGAAGGTACATTTACTCTCCTGGATCTTCAGGAACTTCAAGCTTTTTAAATGAGCTCTTTAACCCTTCTACTGTTACTATTCCTCTAACCCTTCTACTGTTACTATTCCTCTAACCCTTCTACTGTTACTATTCCTCTAACCCTTCTCCCGTTACTATTCCTCTACTAACAAACCCCTAAACCCTTCTAATTCTACGTTCTATGTCCTCTAACCCTTCTACTGTTCTATTCCACTACCCCTTCTACTGTTACTATTCCTCTAACCTTCGACTGTTAACTAATCCTCCTAACCTCACTGTTACCTATTCCTCTAACCCTTCTACTGTTACTTTCCTCTAAAACACCCTTCTTACTGTTCTAGTTCCTCCTAAACCCTTCCTACTGTTACTATTCCACTAACCCTTCTACTGTTACTATTCCTCTAACCCTTCTACTGTTACTATTCCTCTAACCCTTCTACTGTTACTATTCCTCTAACCCTTCTACTGTTACTATTCCACTAACCCTTCTACTGTTACTATTACTATTCCTCTAACCCCTAAACCCTTCTACTGTTAATATTCCTCTAACCCTTCTACTGTTACTATTCCTCTAACCCTTTCTATCTACTGTTAACTATGATTCCACTAAACGCAACCCTTCTACTGTTACTAATTCTTAAACCCTTCTTCTACTGTTATAATTATTCCTCTAACACTTCTACTGTTACTATTCCTCTAGCCCTACACCCTTCTACTGTTACTATTCCTCTAACCCTTCTACTGTTACTATTCCTCTAACCCTTCTACTGTTACTATTCCTCTAACCCTTCTACTGTTACTATTCCTCTAACCCTTCTACTGTTACTATTCCTCTAACCCTTCTACTGTTACTATTCCACTAACCCTTCTACTGTTACTATTCCTCTAACCCTTCTACTGTTACTATTCCACTAACCCTTCTACTGTTACTATTCCTCTAACCCTTCTACTGTTACTATTCCACTAACCCTTCTAACTGCTGCTATACTGGATTTACTATTTCCTCTAACCCTTCTATACTGTTCCTATTCCTCCAACCCTTCTACTGTTAACTATTCTCAACCCTTCTATCTACTGTTACTATTCCTCGAACCCTTCTCCTGTTCTATTCTTCCTAACCCTTCTATCTAATACGGTTACTATGCCACTAACCCTTCTACTGTTATATTTCCTCTACCTGCTCTGTTACTATTCCACTAACCCTTCTACTGTTACTATTCCTCTAACCCTTCTACTGTTACTATTCCACTAACCCTTCTACTGTTACTATTCCTCTAACCCTAAACCCTTCTACTGTTACTATTCCACTAACCCTTCTACTGTTACTATTCCTCTAACCTTCTACTGTTACTATTCCACTAACCCTTCTACTGTTACTATTCCTCTAACCCTTCTACTGTACTTATTCCTCTAACACTTCGACTTGTTTTACTATTCCCTCTAACCCTTTCTACGTTACGATTTCCTCTAACCCTTCTACTGTTACTATGCCTCTAACCCTTCTACTGTTCTATCTTCCACTAACCCTCTCTACTGTTACTATTCCACTAACCCCTTTCTACTGTTACTTTCCTCTAACACTTCTCTCTAGTTCCTATTCCACTAACCCTTCTAACTGTTACTATTCCCTACCCTTCTGAACCATCTACTGATTTACTAGTACACTACCCTTCTACGGTTACTATTCCTCTAACCCTAAACCCTTCTACTGTTACTATTTCTTCCACGAACCCTCTAACTGTTTAACATTCCTCTAAAAAACCCTTCTACTGTTACGATTCCACTAACCCTTCTACTTTTTTACTAGTCCTCTAGCCCTTCTACTGTTTACGTTCCTCAACACTTCTACTGTACTAATTCCTCTAACCCTTCTACTGTTACTATTCTCTAACCCTTCTACTGTTACTATCCTCTAACCCTTCTACTGGGTAAACGATCGCACTAACCCTTCTACGGTACTATTTCCTCTAACCCTTTCTACTGTTACTATTCCTCTAACCCTTCTACTGTTACTATTCCACTAACCCTTCTACTGTTACTCTCTCTAAAACCCTTCTTCTACTGTTCTATTCCTCTAACCCTTCTACACGTTCCCTATCCTCTACCCCTTCTACTGTTACTATTCCTCTACTAAACCCTTCTACTTCTCACTGTTTACTATTCGCCCTCTAACCCTTCTACGGTTACTATTCCACGAACCTTCTACTGTTTTTTTACTATTCCACTAACCCTTCTACTCTGTGACTATTCCGCTAAACCCTTTCTACTGTTACTATTCTCTCTAACCTTCTACTGTTACTATTCGCTCTACCCCTTCTAACTGTTACGATTTATTCCCTAACCCTAACACCCTTCTACTGTTACTATTCCGCTAATAAACCCTTCTACTGTACTATTCCTCTAACCCTCCTCTAAACTGTTACTATTCCACTAACCCTAAACCCTTCTACTGTTACTATTCCACTAACCCTTCTACTGTTACTATTCCTCTAACCCTTCTACTGTTACTATTCCTCTACCTAAACCCTTCTACTGTTACTATTCCACTAACCCTTCTACTGTTACTATTCCACTAACCCTTCTACTGGTACTATTCCTCTAACCTTTCTACTGTTACTATTCCACTAACCCTTCTAACTGTTACGATTCACTCTAACCCTTAACGTTACTAAATTCCACTAAGCCTTCTACTGTTACTATTCCTCTAACCCTAAACCCTTCTACTGTTACTATTCCTCTAACCCTTCTACTGTTACTATTCCACTAACCCTTCTACTGTTACTATTCCACTAACCCTTCTACTGTTACTATTCCTCTAACCCTAAATCCTTCTACTGTTACTATTCCACTAACCCTTCTACTGTTACTATTCCTCTAACCCTTCTACTTGTTACATACTATTCCCCTACCCCCCTTCTACTGTTATATCCTCTAACCCTTCTACTGTACTAATTCCTAACCCTTCTACGTTACTATTTCCCTAACCCTCTACTGTTACTATTCCACTAACCCGAAAACCCTTCTACGTTACTATTCTCTACCCCTTCCTACTGTTCTATTCCCAGAACCCTTCTCCTAACTGTTTACTATTTCCTCTAACCCTTCTACTGTTACTATTCCTCTAACCCTTCTACTGTTACTATTCCTCTAACCCTTCTACTGTTACTATTCCTCTAACCCTTCTACTGTTACTATTCCTCTAACCCTTCTACCTGTACTATTCCACTAACCCTTCTAACCGTACTATTATTCCTTCCGCTAACCCTTCTAACTGTTACTATTCCCTCGAAAAACCCTTCTACGTGACTATTCCTCTAAAACCCTTCTCCTGGTTACTAGTCCCTGTCACCCTCTCTGTTACTATGCCTCAACCCGTAAAACCCTTCTACGGTCAATAGTTCCACGAACCCTCGACTGTTACTATTCCTCTACCCCTTCTACTTTTACTTTCCTCTTAACCCTTTCTACCGTACTTATTCCTCTCACCCTTCTACTGTTACTATTCCTCTAACCCTTCTACTGTTCCTATTCCACTAACCCTTCTACTGTTACTATTCCTCTAACCCTTCTACTGTTACTATTCCACTAACCCTTCAAACTGTTACTATTCCTCTCCCCCTTCACTGTTGTACTATTCCTCTAACCCTTCTACTGTTACTATTCCTCTAACCCTTCTACTGTTACTATTCCACTAACCCTTCTACTGTTACTATTCCTCTAACCCTTCTACTGTTACTATTCCTCTAACCCTTCTACTGTTACTATTCCTCTAACCCTTCTACTGTTACTATTCCTAGTAACCCTTCTACTGTTACTATTCCTCTAACCCTAAACCCTTCTACTGTCAATATTCCACTAACCCTTCTACTGTTACTATTCCTCTAACCCTTCTACTGTTACTATTCCTCTAACCCTTCTAATCTATACTAAATCTAAAACCGTTACTATTCCTCTAACCCTTCTCTACTGTTACTATTTTTCCTCTACCCTTCTAACTACTGTTACTATTCACTAACCCTTCTTCCTGTTACTACTATCCTCTAACCCTTCTACCGGTACATTCCACTACCCCTTTCTAAACCCTTATACTGTTACGATTCCTCTAACCCTTCTAACTGGTTTTACTATTCATCTAACCCTTCTAACTGTTTTTACTATTCCTCTAACCCTTCTACTGTTACTATTCCTCTAACCCTTCTACTGTTACTATTCCACTAACCCTTCTACTGTTACTATTCCTCTAACCCTTCTACTGTTACTATTCCACTAACCCTTCTACTGTTACTATTCCTCTAACCCTTCTACTGTTACTATTCCTCTAACCCTTCTAAACTGTTCCTATCCTCTAAACCCTTCTAACTGTTACTATTCCTACTAACCCTTCTACTGTTACTATTATCCTCTAACCCTTCTACTGTTACTATTCCACTAACCCTTCTACTGTTCCTAGTCCCTCTAACCCTTCTACTGT